TTATTGGTCAATGACCGAAATAAATATGATGATGATGAACAAATCTGGACCAAATTTTGCTGTGATGAGAGAAGCCAGCAAAAGAAAGTTTGAATTTGAAAATGGGCTGGATTCAGCTGGGGCTTTGGAGAAAAATGTTCTAGGAAAAAATCCCCCAGTACATCCCCATGGAACAGGCATTTGGTCATCAGCTTGGAATGTTGCTGACTTCTCCATTCTAAGCCTTCCTCCTTCCTAGTCACATGATCCAGAGCACATCATATGTTGTGTCTAACATACTTAAAACCTTTTATATAAAAGCTACTCTGTTCTGCATCTTAGAAAGCTGTGAACTCAGTTTCATAAAAGTATCATAAAATCATGAAAAATTAAATAGTCTTCACAGCTGTTCTCATGGATTAAGTAACTTGTTATACTTAAAGCAAAAGTTTTACAATTGTTGCCTTGTCTAGGTTAATTACTTAACAGTTCAGTAAGTTATCAGAATAATATATTGCTTAAATGACTCTAAGCCCAGTGTCAGAGTTTTGTAGTAGTGAATTTATGGCTTATCTTTTGGAACATGCATTCAAGCCCAGCACATTTGGAAAAATATAAGGCTTTACATGTTAGCTGTAGGTTTTGCTTCTTGAAGCAGTACACCAGTGGTATTGTCCCTTGGCTTCCTCATAGAATCAACAAAACTTTGCTACATGATTGAAGCACTGTTTTCTGTTTTCGTCATTTATCCTCCTTGCACCTATGGTATAGTGTCATCAGGAACAGGCTATCACTGTCTTCAGAGGCAGTACAACTAAAAAAATAGAAATCTGCAATTGGCCATGTATGAGCGTGTGTGTGTAACACGCTAATCCATAACCTATGGTTATCCAGTGACATGCCCTGTAACATAAAGCATATTATGGCTTGGTATGATTATCTGGTTTATTCAACATGCTATTCCCTAATGTGTTTTAGTTTTGATTTAGCTATTTTTTTAAACCCTGGTTTATAGTTTAGCAAATATGAATATGATTTATATGTATCATATGGGGAAATTGTACATGAAGTGTTGCACGCTACTAGGGCAATTAAGTAGGGCTGCTCTGACTCCCAATTTGGGCAGAAAAGCAAGACTTTATGCCTAAAGACAGAAGTAAGCATTCTCTGTTTCCCCCACAAAACATGTTCCTCAAAGCAGTTAATGTTGGCCTGTTTTTTTCCCCTGGAAGATGGATTCATATGATAGCCTTCCTTTTAAATGTTGTGTTTTAAGGGGAAAAAAGTATCACTGAATTTTTTGTCTACAGGCACAATACTGTCCCATTAAGATTATCCCCATTTCTGTCTTTAAAGGCATGGAAATTAATTTTAGATTCTTTAAAAATATGAAAGATCACCATCAACAGCTTGTTTTTAATAAGTAGGACAGTATTTTATAAGCTCACCACATTGAGATTACTTTTATTGATTGACATGTAATCTTTCAACCTGTTCACAGCCTTTCTGTTCTGGATTCCATTGTTGTAAAACCAATTTAGAAAATAGAGATGTATTTCAATAATTGCTAAGATCCCATTCACATTTATAGGGATAAGATGCAGTTTTAACTTAATTGTTCTTAAAATTCAATCTTAACCTAAATATCAGTTTATATATAGAATTTTATTGATATTAGTGTTCTTATTTTGCACTGAAATATTAAAAAAAGGATAAATGAGTTTGCAGTTAAGCCTTACTTAGTGATATTACCATTTTAACTGAGAGGAGGAATTTTTTTCAGTATTTGGCTTAATTTAATGAAGTATATCTTTCAAATGACTACTGTCAAATCTTTTCACCTCACTTCATATAAAGAAGGTATAAACATGTTGCTTTTTTTAAAAAAACGGTTTCATGTTTTTGTAATACGTGAAATATTGCTACGTGCAAGATGAAACTGATTTTAATGTTATTTTTTTAATGAATTGTTTTTCAGGCATATGTGGTATTCATCTCCACATTAGGAGGAGAATGGCTTGAAAGGAATTTTTCTGCCTTGCTTTCCCACATTCTAGAGTTGGTCTCTCAGTCTCACCCTAAGGCTATTCAGACACAAATGGATAGTATCTGTTGCCGCCGTTGTATTTCATTTATCCTCCGAGCTACAGTAGGAGGCCTTCTTGGGGAAAAAGCTCGAATTGCAACTGCCAAGGAGATTTGTCAAGCCATCTGGAAACTGAAGAAAGTTATGGGTATGGGACTAACAAGATTATTTGCTAACCCTCCCTCCCCTTCCATTCCAATAATGCTTTAATCATTTCCTAATTTATTTGTACAGTAACGTAGTCACACACACAAACCAAGTGACTCTTTGTTTTTGTTTTTTTTAATCATTTTTAATCTTAAAATTTCCTGAATTTTTCCCATGATGTAGTTTTAGATAAATGTGTGGAAAGTAGATATGGTAGCTGACTATAGACTTTACAGCACAACCTTATACTATGCACCACTAACGTGTATCTCTGATCATTCATGAGCACAACATTTTCACTAGTTACAAGCTTCCCTGTAGCATTTAGCAAGTCATGCTGAAATAAATGACCCCATTCATCTTACCAGTTTGGAAGGTTTGCTGAAATACAGATGACGTAACTAGGAACGTTTGCTGAAGCTAGTAAGACTGGGTCTAGTTTTTTTCTTTAATGTAGCTTACTCAGGCAACAGAAGAAGATCAAAAAAGATCAGTTAATGGAAACTGCTCATTATTGCAGCCTGATTCTAGAATCATGATTCTGTAGTGGCTATTGTTGCACAACTGTTAGTACCCTAATCATAATGCTTAGCTTTTTAAAAGGTGTTGAAGCTTTATTCAGTTATTGGCTTAAAACTAATCAGTTGTGCAGAGGATAGAGGGAAAGGATAATTATTATCCTATAATTTATCCATAGTCTACATCCAGTCTAAAGGGTAATCTTTTAGCTCTTTTCCTAAAGCCTTACTTTACCCATAGAAGTATGTGTCAGCCACCTACCCCTGGCTTTTAACCGTTTCTTTTATTAATTTATTGTTTTCTATTATTAGATGCTGCAGTGAGTAACTGTAATGTTGAAACCCGTGTTGGTACAACAGAGATAATAGCCAGCCAGCATATGCTAATATGCGCCCTAGAAGAGCTTGGAAACCTCATACATGGCTTAGGTACTACTGCTGCACCTGTTCTGCAAGATTCCAGTACAGGTAATGGCCTCATAGAGCCTTAAGCTATAGGATAAATAAAACAAAAATGGGTGGTTGTGTCACAAACTGCTGCAGGATATATTCTGCAAAAAAGAGGGTGTTCAGATAGTTCCAGCAGTCTTTTTTTTAATAAATTAAAATATTCAGGATAGATTCTGAATCAGTACAGGTCATTATAGGGAATCTATGGTGAGCACGTTATTGGAATCGGTTCTTAGTTAAGCAAAGAGGGGGAAATCTGCATTTTTGTATCATTCTGAGGTTTCAGAGTGTTTCATGGAGCTATATATATAAGTTGTGTCACAGTGAGACAGCAGCTAGCTTAACTTAGCTAATTTCAAAAAAAGCTAAGAATATTGCACCTGGTTAGTAAGGGAGACAAGCAAGAAATCCCAGACTGGGCTGGATAAGAAGTTGAACAACCTCCTGAGAGAAACCGTTAGTAAACCATTTTTATAATGTTGCCAAGAAAACAGTATGAAAGGGGCTGTGTAATTACCAGGAAATGGCTCAAATTAAAGGAGCCTTTACAAACAATTAAAGCCACACTTCTGTGGGATCATCCTCCTGATCCACTTACTGCAGCATGAAGATGACTTGGTAACACTTTTTAAGAGATGTCTTCATAAAATTGCATTTGTCTCATCCACAGCAGTTTTGCTGCTGAAGTGGGATTTATCCTCTTTTCACGACACATGCTACGAACGCTCTACAAGGCTGGTGATGACATAGTCAGGGACGAGACTCTGCCCAGCTCTTTTTGGCATGCCCCCTGTCCAGTCACTTGGCACTGCCCTCTGTGTCCATTTTGGCTTGAGAGAATCTGGCACCTGGTTTGCATTGAGTAGATTCTTTTTTTCTTTTTTTTATCAGTCTCCCAGAAAATTCTGATAGTTCTATAGATTTTTTTTTTCTGGCTGACAGTCAGTGGACACCTTAGGGGAGCAGGACAAAACCAGTGGAAGCTCTGTTGATTTACTGATATGTCTCAATAAGCATTCTCATATATTTGTGGTTCTAATCTTGTAATATGTTTGATTTTCCAGGAGTCCTGGATGCAGTAATCTCCATTATCCTTCATCCCTGCATTTCAGTTCAGCTAGCAGCAGCATGGTGCTTACGTTGTATTGCTGTAGCATTACCCTGCTATCTCTCTCCACTTCTGGATAGCTGTATTGAGCGCGTGACAGCAATGAAATCCTCTCCAGAAGCAGTGACTGGTTATAGTTTTGCTATTGCTGCTTTGTTAGGAGCTGTCAGACAGTGTCCTTTAGGAATTCCGCATGGCAAGGGGAAGGTAATTATTAAACAGTTTGTCAGGTGTTCATTGTAGTGTCACAATTACATTTCTCACTTGCATGCAACTTAAGTATTTAAATAACGTGATGTTATTATTCTGATAAATGAATTATTGTTTGTTTTATGTCTGTGTTCCACAACTTAGTTTTTTTAACTGCTGTATCAAATTATGCAGGGAACAGCTGTCTGTGATGAAGGTTCAGGATTCAGAAGCATGCAACATTCCACATAGCTTAATTGGTTCAGTTTTACAAATTGTGTTTCACAGGGTACATGAACCAATCATAAATACTTTAATAATGAAACTGTTATTGCTGTTTAGTTATTCCATCTGTATATTAGAGATGTGCAAAGCATTTGCAAGAGGTGATTTGCAGAGTGTGTTAGTACAATAAAATAACCCTACTCAAAACATTAAAACTTGTTTTGGAAGGGCATGCAGAGGCTCATTTATTGCACGTGCCAGCCCAGACAACACTTCTGCTGGGGCCGCCAATCAAGTAAAGTGATTGTAGACGCATATACACACACAAATATGCAGGGACAGCATTTGAAGTAGCCAGGCAAATCTGGGATGTGGAGTGAACAAGCAAGTAACAGTGTGTGTATTAGAGGAGACAATAATATAAGGGTCTATATTACCTAATAATTCCATTATGCTAATCAGTTTATTTAAAACAGAATTACTCCCTTGCTGTATTGAAAATATTCTGGGTGGCTGAAGATAAGTTTGTTTGGTTTTAACTTTGCGTGAAGACAACCATTATGGTTTGAAAATTATGATCTTTGTCTTTGCATGATTGAAAAACAGGGCCATTGTGACTAACCCAACAAATCTTGGTTAAAACAAATCACATCTAACTATGATTTATAAACCCAGGCAATATACAATATGCTAACTGGTTGTAGAGGACAATTTTGCAGTATCTGAGGAAGTAGAGTCTAGCTCACAAAAAGTTATGCCATAGCACATATTATTGTCTTCAGTGTTTGGCAAGAGTTTCAAGCTCAAGAGGAATAACAACATCGCTATTCTAGACTTTATTCCTTGTATTTTACTTAACGTACATAGCTGTATGAGAAAGTTTATTTGTGGGCAGTGACATATGCAGAAGTAATATATATGCATCTCTTCATAGGAATTTAAATTTGTATTTCAGTCTTTGAGATAGTGAGGATTTTTGTTTTCATATAGGTTGTCATGATGGTAGCTGAGGATCTTTTGCGTTCTGCTTCTCAGAATAGTAGGATTTCAGTACAAAGAATGCAGTCAGGTTGGCTTTTGATAGCTGCTTTAATGACATTAGGTAAGATTATTCACCTACATTTCTTTTCAAGTGAAAAGTTGAGTACTTCTATACTTCTTGTCTGTTGTCACTGTTTCAATATATGAATTCTTTTTTTTAATTGTTTTGTAGCTGTAGGAATATAGCTAACTTAAATTATTACTTTCTTGTCATAGACTGTAGGGAATTATCTTTTCCAGTATAACAGTTACACAAAATATATCAGTAACAGATTATGTTATATATGAATTATAAGCAAACAACCATACTTTTAAGGGTGAAGTAAACAGTTTTAAAAACAAATATGAACATATGGGTTATAGATAATTTTGGCATTCCCACCAGCCCTTGCAGAACATTCATACAACATGGGATTATAAAGTATTGTTTCCCACAGTGTCCAAACTGGCATCTCTGGACAGCTTACAGGCACATGGGAGCTGCAGGATGAAGGGGGATGAAATCGTTTCATTAAAGGTTCAGTTAATGCTATCTACTAAAAACATCTTCAATCTTAAAAATAATAGGTCCTGCGGTAGTCCAGCATCATCTTCCTAGAATGCTGTTATTGTGGAAATGTGCATTTCCAATATCTCCTAAAGACTTAGAAACTGAGAAGAACCGTGGTGATTCATTTACGTGGCAAGTGACACTGGAAAGCCGAGCAGGTGCTCTCTGCGGTGGGTGAAAATTATCGTGGCTATTCGTACTTTCACTCTTTTTGAACTTTCAGAAGTCATAGCAGTAGAAGTAAGGGACAATCTTTTTTTCTCCATTGTTTCCCAATTCCAGGACCAGGTCTTTACATAACATGTTTTTTACACATAGATGTCTAGAATATGCAGTATTTGTAGCTCATTTGTTTGCAAGTATAAAATTTTATTTGTTGCTATATTTGATGAATAAGAAAGGTACTAACTACTAATCAGTACTAACCTTGCAGATTAGTTTTTGGCTGAATGCTCTGATAAATTAGACCACTAGTACAGACTCTTTATTTATTATTCAAGCGTTGGAGATAATCTGTCTCTTTCACTACTTCTGACTGAAAAGTAGTGAACATCTGACTACATATTTAAGTATGTAGAATAGCTACCCTTTATATTTCATAGTACAACAGTATTATTCGTTATTTCAAAATTACATGCATTTATATACCATCCATCTCCCAAGACTCTGTGCCAGATATATCAATTAAGTATAATTGATTATAATATTCGTATTAATTTTTCTACTTCTGTCTATAACACAAGATTGTATTATGATTTGTCTATATATACTAATATGCAATCAATATGCTTTATTCTCAGCTATTAAAAGCTTTATTCTGTATTGTGGAGGACTCCTTACAGATGAAGTGATTCAAAGACTGCTTCCTCCTGTCCCATGTGCTGTTGATTTACTGACACAGTAAGTAATAGTATCTTTATTTTGATCCTCAATCATCATAAAATAACATTCAGTGATAAAATTATAGCCATCCCATTGTCATAGTAGTCTAGTCTATATACTGTGATAACTGATTAAGATTTAAATTATTAATGGAAACTATAAAACCATAATACTAATAATATTAAGATTGCAAGATTAATATTATGAAGACAAGAATGAGTACAGTATAGTATAAATTAATATAATTTGGATATTATTGTGTAAAACTATGGAATAATAACTAACACAAAATATAAAATCACTATCACTGAAATCTACAACTAAAACTATATTTAATCTTGATATTATAAGAACTATAATAGTATTGTATAATATAAAATATTGTATAAAAAGGAATAGCAAAAGTCTAAAGCACTGAAAATAACCAATAGAATACAAATTTATCAACATTGCCTTTTTCAATATGGCTTTGATGGCAGTGGATGAATGAATTTTATCGATGTGGTCATGGGCCATATGTAATAAAATAAGCATTAACTACTACTGACCATTTGTGGTGGAGCTTACACAGAATACAACAAAATTTTGCTACATTTAAGGAAATATTGTACATAGGGTTTGCCATCATTTATCAGTTGTTTGTAATTTGGAGTGAGGATCCCTCATCTAGCAGAAACCCTTGTTTAGATTCATGGTGATTTTGATTTTGTTCTACTTATGTTACGATATAAGTAGTCCTCCCTTACCGACCACCCATTCAGTGACTGTTCGAAGTTACAATGGCACTGAAAAAGGAGTCTTGTAACCAGTCCTCAAAGTTGCAGCCATCATAGCATCCCCACAGTCACGTGATTGTGATTTGGGCACTAGGCAGCCAGCGTGCATTTATGATGGTCACAGCATCCCACAGTCGCTTGATCGCCATTTGTGACTTTCACAGCTGGCTTCTGACAAGCAAAGTCAATGGGAAGCCAGCAGGAAGTCACAAGTCACGGTCACATGACATCGCGCTTAATTGCCCTCAGTGATTTGTTTAACGACCGCAACCGGAACTGATGAACTGATGTCGTAAGTGGTCACGAGACATTTCACTTTATGACCGAGTCGCTTAGCGACGGAGTTGCCAGTCCCAATTATGGTTGGTAAGTGAGGACTACCTGTAATCATTTTAGTTTTAAAGACAGTGGTCATCTGTGGGTGTGTTTATTAGGATGACACAGTGATCTGAACTGAAAGGGGAAAAGGCGTAATGAATAAAGAGGATGGTGTTGTAGAATTGAGGGAAGATCCCCTACAAAAGTAACAATCAGATAAATGAAACTTGAGCCCAGGCCAGGAAAGTACTTTGCAAAAACACAGATAGCTCCCCCCACCCAAATTCTCATGAAGATAAAAGAGGGAGGAAAGGTAGCACATGCAAGATTCTGTTACTATAGCTGTTCTAATAATAGTACCTTTAGGTCTGCACAGTGTCTGTTTCTTAGACCTGATAGGGCTGACAAAAGGTGATCTGGAGCACGTATGGAATGTACAGGTAGTCCCTGGTTTAAGAACGAGTTCCATTCCCAAGGTTTGTCCTTAAGTCGGATTTGTACGTAAGCAGGAACAGTATTATTGTATAATACTGTATAAGTAGTATAACTCAAACCATTATATATTTAACTCGAATTTTGCTACGATAGACTCCGTTCTTAACTATGGATCATCCTTAAACTGGGTGTTCTTAACCTGGGGACTAGCTGTATACTGTATCTGTTGGCACCACCTTAAATTATGAGGGTCTTTCCTTGGATCAGGTGCTATTGCTGAGCAAGCCCAGGAAAGGATACAGCTTTGTTAAGGAATTGTCTTTCTTGCTCTGAATCACCTTTTTCACTTTCAGTCCAGATAACTGCATGGCCCAAGTGTATAAAATCAATACTGACTTTATTTATTATTTATTTATTAAGTATTTAGGCTGCCCATCTCATATACATGACTCTAAATTAGTTGAATAGCTTTTTTTTGTAACTGTAGGATTTTTTTGTTTTTACATTTTAAAGGCTTCCTTCGCTAAGTAAAATGTATGGCAGTGCTTTAAAACTATCATCAGTGACATATAGGAAAAGACTTTATGAACTGCTTGCTTTGTTGCCTCCCAAGACTTATGAAGGTATGTGTACTTCTTTGGGGAATAGCTTCCCAAAATATGTCTAAATACTTCCTTCAAGTGTGTCTTGTTTTAGTAACAAATGGACAAGTAAAGCATTTGTAACATAGAATATAATTAATTTGTATTTAAGAAAAAGCCTTCATACAGAGAATCATACTTGAAAAATCTGCTTCTAGGGAAGTCAGATTACCTGATGAACTCCATGTATAATGCTAATAAAGGAATATATTGAGAGAAAACATAATTTGAATAAAAGTTAAGCCTTTAAAAAGTAGTGTATTGTATTCAAGAAGGGATTAAAATGCTGTCTTGGTGGCCTTTGTAAATTCAGGCATGACAGCAGACCATACATTGTGTGCATTATAATTCTGAACCTGAATGATCATTTGAACTTTTTGCTTTATAGTTCTTCCTCTGCTTTTTGTTTTCAGTATACTTATTTTGCACATAGAGACTGTAGATGTATCTCAGTGTGCAGTGAAATGCAGAAATAGAGGTATTGCTGTAACACTGATGAATAGACATTAGACCATACAGCAGTTCAGCTGTTTTAACCACAGGGTAATATACTGTCCCCCAAGGTCAGTTTAAACTGCAGAGTAAAAAATTAAAAGATATACAACTATTCTGTCTTGCTAGTATAACTGACAGAAGAGTTTTCTGTTTTACATAGCTAGTTTATGGTCTGATCCTGTGGTATCATTATTATTATTATTATTAAACCAATTTATATAGCCACCCATCTCACCACAGTGACTCTGGGTGGTGTACAATATGCATTATAGGGCATTGTAATGGGAGAGGAGTAGTGTATTACAGGCTAATATATTTCATTTTTATGTTTCCCTTCACTATTATATGCTACATAGTTAGCAACATGAAATAAAGTTTCCCATTTTAATTTCAAATAGACTATCCAGTGACTGTAAATGAAAAAAAACTTTAGTTGTAAAAAATATTTCTCTTAATATTGTAATCTTGAATGTGGTGCTTCATCAGAGTCTATCAACATTTCAATATCAGATTTATTTCAAAAGTTACTTGGTGTTTGTTACTGCCAAATCTATTTTCTAATAAATATACAAAAAGAAAATACCACTTCATTATCTTATATTTGTATTCAAGAGAAGTTTTGCTTTACTGCAGTAATTTTTGAGGGAAAATATATTCTTCAGCTTTTCTTTCTAACCCAATTGATTGTGAAACTGTACACTGTTGTTTTTAGCAAACCTTTCATTTTTTTGACACAGAATATTTCATGTGAGAATGTTAAACTTGTTCAGTTTTATGATTCACCAATAAACACATTTATCAGAAATCACATAACCCATTTCTTGTCCTTAAAATACTGTTGCAGTAATGTATTTGGGTATCAGCTATGTATAAAAGAAACATTTTCTTTTACTTCCAAAATTACAGGAAGTTTCTCTGCTGTTCTTAAAGAACTAGTGCTTGACTTGACTCAACTTGATAATCAGGCAGCTGCCTCTGCTGCTTATTTTCCACCCTTTTCCCACCACTGTGAACTTGCCTTATTTGATCCCTTACTGCAGGAGACAGAGCACAGATTTATCGAAGAGCAGGTACTACATTTTAGCGGTTATTTATGCACTTAGAGGAGAAAAACCATGTCCTGCGATGACAATTGCATTTCTTCTGTCTTTGCAGTTGCTCTTAGTTAACAATACAGCTAGTGGAAGTCTGGAGTTTGACCCATTTGCAATTTATGAGAAGGCTGTGCATGGAGATTCAGTGCCTAAACCCTTATCTCCAACTTCATCCATTATCTATGCAGCAACCCGTCTCTTTGGAGTAATATTTTCCCAAGTAACAGAGACCCAAAGGTAAAGAGAGTATGAATGAGATTTCAGTTTCAAGTTAGTTACACTCATGGGAAATACGTTATTTATCAAAAGCATGGGATTTATCTAAACATTCTTTTTTGCCTTATGAGCTAAACTATGATAGGAGTTGTCTGTATTAATTTGTATACAAAATGCTGTAGATTACTTCAAGAACATTATTTATCTCTGAAGAGAGTACTTTATGTATTGTATACACTGGAGGGGGGGATCCCTCTGATCAGTATAGTAGTGTGCTGAGTGTTAGGTGGTAGTAATTGTACTGGTAAGAAAGGTGATTGGACTGTCATTACCAGAGTTGCATAAAACAATTGCACAGGCCTGCAGCTTTTATATAAATTGATTTTACTGTATTACATTTGCAAAGGTTGGAATGTGAATCTGAAAAGTGTTGTATGGTGTTTATTCCATAGATCTTCTCCGCAACCCTGAATTCAGTTATCATGCTTCTCATATGATAGATGACACACAGATTGTTAGAAAGACTTTGTTTATATTCAGCATAAATATGATTTGAAGTAGAAATTACATATTCAACTCTATCAACATATTTTTTTCATTTGAAAGCTCTGGGATATTTCCCTGATCTTCCTAGTTTCTTCAAGCCACAAATCCCTAGATTAGAATATAATATAAAAGCATGTATGTGTCCCACAGTAGCCACATAGATGTTTTTGAGAGGCAACTATAGCCTTGACAAAGGAACATAGCCAAATGTTAAGAGAGAATTTAACACTTAGGAATAGTTTCTTACACAGCAATATTACATGTAGTAGCCTTTATACAAAACAGGAGAGAGGCCCATTATACCATCTCCTCTTGACTTTGTGTGTGTTTAAGGCTGCAAGTGCTGGAACAATTATTGGCATCCATAAAACAAACCAAAGGATCGCGGCAACAGATACTACAGCAAAATATTATATCAGCAATTTGCAACGTTCTAAAGGTAAGAGTTTCCCTTCTATTTATCATGAAAGTTGGTTTTTTACCCAAAATTGATGTTTCCCATCTTAATCATTTAAAGGGAATCTGAAAACTTAAGCTTGATGTCTTGTTTTCCTTGAAATTATTATTGAATCTTATTGTCCATATTATCTATTATTGAAGAAAAAATATATAATTTAGAAAATAATTAGATAAATGCAAGTTGAATCTGTTGGATGTCATCTGTAGGTAGATGATACCTGTTTCATTCTCCAAAGTGTTTACCTCCATACATAACACTAAGCCATTATGCTTGTTTGCTTTTCAGTAAAAGGTGAACCACTCTTTATGGCTTAGCATTATAGATGAATGCAGCCTTGGTTTAATATAACATGCATAAGCTACATCACAAGGGTCAATGCATTCTCTGCTCCCCTAAAAGCTTCTGCTTTTAGTTCACCATAGATTAAGGTCATCTGAAAGAAGTATTAAGTATTATTTCAACAGACTATATTAATAAATAATTTGAAGTTTCTTGCTTTGATTTTAAACACAGTTTTCACAATGTATTGCTTCAGATGATATGATAAGGTACTATTCCTTTTGGTTAATGTTACAAATTTCTGAAAACCTCTTAACTACAAGAGAATGAGGGCAATGGATCCATGTGCACAGTTTCACTGTGACTCTTTCATGCTCAAGCATTTTATGCTAAACAATAATTTAGTGTAAATTTAGTGTAACATGCAAACCACTTATCTTCTCTCTTTAATAATTAATAATTCTTAGTTTGCAGTTCTATTTTCTGCTATTATATGATATTTGTCTTTTTATAGTATTATGCCAGCCTTGGATCCTGAGGGTAAAAAGGTGACCGAAAATTTAAATAAACAATACTGATGTAAAATAGCCATTTCTTGGTCTGAAACAGAGAAATCTGAGGCAACAGAGGATACCACTTTGTTGTATGGTTTAGAAAGCCTAAAGAAGGCATTATTCATGTATCTGTAGATATTTTAGATTGACAGCATCATTTGGCACCTAGAATCCAGGAGGAAATTATATTCCTATATGGCAACCTCCCTATGATTTTATCTTCCCAGTGATAACTGAGGAATCAATTTCCATTTAGCTTAGAATATTTGTGCACATACTTTTAGTTATCAGGGTGCTCATTTAGTAGAGGAGAACAGCAGAATAATAATAAGTGGAGTTCATGTTATCTCTCTGGAGTTCTATATAAAACAATAGTAGTTTTAGAAGTCCTTTTAAAATCTTCCCAAGATAGGTTTTACTTTGAATCTATTACGTAAGTATACTGACTTCTTTACAAGGTTTTTATGGCTCTGTTTTATAATGTTTATGCTTTTAAACTTTATGTTGTGAGCTGCCCTAAAAGCTTTGGTTCTTGGGCAGAATAGGACTATAACAAAAAGTATGTTGATTTTCATTTCCTGTCATATTTACATGTCTGTTGAAAGTAGGAAAAATATTTGCTGTTCAGTAATGATGTTATTTATAAACTTTCTTTTATTCTAGCACTTGGCTAGCCATAAAGGAAATCTAGGTTCTGAAGAAATCCAGAACTGTACCTTGAGCTTGATCATAAGTGCCTTGGAAAGTAGCAGTCCACTTCTGAGATGTTCTGCTGCTGAATCCCTAGCCAGACTTGCTCAGGTGGTAGCTGATAATACCTTCGCTGCTGGATTGGCACAAATGAGCTTTGAGAAGTAAGCAATTTCCCGTAATATGGTTTTATTGCATTATATCAAGAATAGGTATCCCTTTGTGCCTATGTATACCTGCCATGAAGTTCACCAGATTCTTTGCCTCATCTGACTTAAATTTTGAATAGATTTTTCTAATTTTAAAAAAAGAAAGATATTTAAGGCGGTAATGCAGCAAAGCAGACATCTAGTATTTTAGTGTCAAGAATGCTAGTAGTTCTGCACATAGTCTAATGCTTTATTTGGAAATGTACCCAATTGCCAAAGAGAGAGGGAGACAGAAATGTAGGCTGAGATTGTAGGGATTCTCATGGGGAGCAGACTACCAAGGCACATTCTCACCAGACTGCATTCAGATGCACAGGTGTTCTGTGAATGATTCATGTCATCTGTTTGGGGAAGGGGGTAGGGGGGAAACATTCTCACTGAAGCCATTGTGTGAGAGTTCCCACAACATGTTTTCAGAAATACAAATGTGTCCACTGGTCCAAAAAGGTTGCCTACCTTTATATGACTTTGTTCCTGTTTAGCTGATGATTCTTGTTGTCCTGATAATTTGTAGTTCCTCAGGAAAGAGTGATAACCAATGTTTCTTACTATATTAATGGTTTAAGAATTTTCTGCATATATGGCAGGGCTGTAGATTGACAGCTTTCAATACCGTATTTCATAGAAATATGTATTTTCGGTGATTTTAGCCCACTGACATAATATAAAAAAAGGGGAAGAACTCTCCAGCAGACCAAGGTTGAAAAGCCCCTTCCGTTGATGTACTATGACATCAGTGAAGAGTCAATTGTCTGTGAATGCAGCATGACTTGCTATCTTTCATCTGTATATAAGAAGGCCTCCTTTGTGTAATCTCACTATATTTGCATATGACAGGCTCTTCACTGATGTTTTAGCAAATGGGAGAGTTGTTCATTGAGGTGAGTGCTTTTTTGTGTTACTTGATCTGGGCTATTTGCTTAGAAACAATTATTTATCTTTTGGTAAGAAAGCTACTGTGTAGATTTTTTTGAAATTCAAATTTTTCAGTGGTCTGTGTGATATGTGGTACAGGTTCTATTATTTTAACACTTTTAATTTAGGTCTATATTATCTACTAATTATTATAATAGAACACACACTGTACTGGTATTACTGTTTTTGATTCAAATGGTTGAGTTTGAATCTTGAGTGGTTCATGATTCTCTTTCAGCTGAAAATCACTGCTTCTTGCTTTCATTAGCACTTACAGCAAACATCCGTAGATGTCAATTTAGTAAATGTAAAGTTCTTCAGAATTCATGTCAGAAAACTATACATCAATAACTTAGCATTTAATTTAAATGCTGAATTTAAATTTGTTTGAAATTTTCTGAAATAATATATATATATTGTGTGAGTCGCCCAGAGTCCCCCACTGGGAGGAGATGGGCGGGGGAGAAATTAAATAAATAAATAACACGGTGAAATCCACGAATTATAATTACAACTAGTATAATATATCAGCTATATGAAACTACCTGTATTTGCAGATACCTTTTAAGAAATAAAGTATTTCTTATATATCTCTAAATAATGTATTTTTCCTTTGCTTTCCTGGCAAAAAAAATACATTAGGGAATTGTTCAAGCATCCATTAAAATTGCATCAAAGAGGGCGTTTTATTTTTCCTGTCAGCAAAATATTATGTCTGCAATAATTCTGAACACATTTATTAGGAAGTACTTCAAAGATATTTATAATGGGATTAGCTTTTGAGTAAACATATACAAGAGCTCAGTATAATTTTATACATCTTCATTTCAGCAACTGAAATTTAGCTAATGGCATATTCATGACCTAGGGTTTTTAATATTTTTTTTAAGTTGGTAATTTGTGCAGAAACTATACGAATATCAAAGTATGTATAGTTCAGCTCAGATATTGTCAGCTCTGCTATGTAGACCAGACCAAGAAATCAACTCCACAGGATAGCTAAAACTACTTTTATTGAGATTAGCTATAATAACAGACTCTTGCAAATCTGATTCTGCTGTACCTCCTCCCCTTTCTTATACTTCAATGAATTACGGAGGTATCTGTCTGAGTTGATTGCAAACACTATCTGTTTGTTGTGGACTTGAAATAGTTTTCACCTGTCATCTCCCTAGTAATTGATCTTGCATATCTCCATCCAGTTTATCTTCCTTACTCTCTACAGATGTCCTGGCTGTATAAACAAAGGCAGTCATAAGAACTCTAGCAGCCCAAACTTATTAGGCTAACCTCTTGAGAACTTCAGAGTTATTATGTTTGTGTGATTAATCGATGATGATGATGATGATGATGATGATGATGATGATAGGAATATAGTCCCATTGTCCTCCCCTTTTTCTTCTTAAGGCCTAAACATTAAGTTGTGATTCTGAAACATCTTCCCAACTCTAGTGTCTTCAAGGATGCATTAGCACTACAGTTCTTACCATCCTGTTAAGCTTTAGAATCCTAACACGCTTAGAGAGCATTGGATGTGAGCGGAAAGCTAGTCAATAAGTTCTCTGTAGACTTCTATAATACTGGACTTCATAATTATAATTGTCCTTTTAATCCAGTTTTCTTACAATGTTTAGACTAAAATCTGCAAGAGATGTGATATCAAGAACAGGACATTCTTTGGCTCTGGGATCTCTCTATAAGTACATGGGAGGAATCAGCTCCACTCATCATCTTACTGCATGTGTTGGAATTCTTTCTACTTTATCTCAGGATAATACTTCACCTGAAGTACAGGTTTGTATTGCATATAATAATGATGATGATGATAAGTGGCTAAGCGAAAAGGAGCCCTACAGAGACACACACCCACACATATAGACACACACACACATATATAAAAGTATTTATTTCCTGTTTTACCGAATGAAAATTAACATGTGTGTCTTCTTATCCAAAAGATATATTGCAAAATATTATTTGGGCTTTTAAGATGTTTTTGTTGTTCTAGTACTTATTTGATACTGAATTGATGGCAGAGAGCCTAATCACGAGTGATAGTCAAGAGTCAATCATCTGGGACCTGTTCAAAATTTCTGGTGAAATATCCTTCCTTCTCGTTCTTCCATTCTCTCTACTTACCTTTTCCCAAGTAGGGAGAGAAGAAAAGCAACATGTGCTAGAAGTTCCAAGCCCAGACAACCAAGAACAATATTTATTCCATGAATTTACAGTGATAAAATTGCCACAGTGAGAGACTCATCCATTCTCTTGTCTCCCACTTCTCCACTACTGCCAGCTCTTAGGCAGGTGTGAGTACACTAAAGGAAGGTGATATATGCGGTGTAGAGCCCCCTTCAGATTTGGATAAGTGGGCAGTTTTACTGCTGAGGGAGGCAAGAAAGTCTAGATTGTTTTATTCTGTGTGTGTGTGTCTCACATATTACATTGTACTGAATTGTTGGCATACTAGTCCTCACCATTTCACTGAAATGCTCTTATTGTACACATAACTTTGTTTTTTATCATACTTAAACATAAATTATTTCATGTTTGTTTTCATGCCCATACACATGTTTTGTGTCTGTGTCTGTGTGTGACAACACTACATTTTTTGGTATTTTACAGACCTGGGCACTGCATTCTCTGTCACTGATCATTGATTCTGCTGGTCCTTTGTATCATGTGCATGTGGAACCTACCCTCTCTCTTGTTCTTATGTTGTTGTTGACTGTGCCTCCTGCTTATACTGAAGTCCATCAAAGCCTTGGTCGCTGTTTAAATGCACTTATAGCCACTTTGGGTCCTGAGTTGCAAGGTATGCATACATTTGTGACAAAATGTTAGGAGCCAAGCTAATAATCATTGAGTTAATTTGCTACCACAATATGCATGGAAAACTATGAAAAAAAAGCTTTAAAGTGTTTACATTTTTACGAAGTCATGCACAATCATATTTGTCTTCCACTTTAATTTATTAGAAATGTGAATTGTGATTTACACACACTTGTATCTGAGATCTTCAAATAAAGAAGTGCTCTTTTTTTCCTCTAACAGCAGAATTTCTAGTAGCTGGTACTTGACAAATTTATAATCAGGAGAGTGGAGGATAAAAATGATGTTTCCCAGGTTAGACAGAGAAGCACTCTGACAAAGTAATTGTCCTTGTGTTCAAGGCAAAGATGGAGTACTGTCTTCTGAGCACGCACACAAATATATAAAGACTAGATTACCATCTTTTTTGGGTGAATATAATTGAGTTGTCCACAAGCAAACACTGGAGTTCTTCCACTGCTTATAAAATATCCAACAGAGGTGCTGTTGAAATAAATGTATTTTTTTAGTAAAGCATGACCTTAGTAGATTTTTAAAATAGATTTTAATCAGTTGAAGAACTTATTATTTATTGTAACTTGATTTTTATTGTTTTGAAATGCTTTTTGATGACTGAAGAAAATGGTAGAAAGAGAGACGTCTTTTTCCCTTATTTGCCTTATGTGTAGGCAGCAGTACTATGGTCTCAGCCTTAAGAGCATCCTGTCTCCTTGGCTGTGCAGTGATGCAAGATAACCCTGACTGCCTGGTCCAAGCTCAAGCCATCTCATGCCTTCAGCAGCTTCACATGTTTGCTCCTCATCATGTAAACCTGTCTAGTCTTGTAAAGTGCCTTTGTGTAAGTATGTAGTTATAAATACATTGCAATTCTTTTTTCTGGGTTATTTGCAACTTCAGAGTCAGAACATTCAAATTAGCACTTGAGAGAAAAACAGCTTTTGTCCCAAATTCAGCAGAATATTTTGAAATAAGAGAATTAATTGCTTTCAGAAATGTGAAGTTAAAGAAATGTTATAATATTATTCAAGTCTAATGATTGATTTTAGCATAATATCACAAAATGAAAGTGCTTTTTCAGATGTATAAAGTGGGGTGTGTGTGTGTGTGTGTGTGTGTGTAAAATATATATGCATATGAGAGTTTTTCCCAGTTCAGTGAACCAAGCTAGATCAGAGGAGGAAGGTGTGATATTCCATGGGAAAATGAGTCTTTCCTGTTTACCTAAGGAGAAGGGTATGCTAGTTTTGGAGTAGAACAAATGAAAGGGGATCCACCTAGTAGCACCGCTATTTTCTGCTAGCTAATGTTAATTGCTTGGTTGATATGCCAACTGGCTAGGGAATTAGTTTCTGTGTTGTTTCCTTCTTTTGTTCTCTCTCTCTCTCTCTCTCTCTCTCTCTCTCACACACACACACACACACACACACACAGACGTACACATAGACATATGTGCAATGGGATGAAGAGAAAGCTGCTTTACAGTGCTGCATTATGAACTCTTTTAACCTTTCCTCTCTACAAATCGGTTTGTGGATTTTCACTTACCTGAACACCTCTTAAAACTGGTGAAATGTTCTTCTTCAGTTCAGCTTCTTGAATTAATTTGCCAGTTGGTGGAGGGCATTTTGTACCAGCCTTATGAGTAGAGAGAGAGAAATTATAAAAAAACAGGATCAAGAAGTCTGTCTTTTTCACTGAACAGTTCAGATGTCGGTAAGAAAATACAGTTTCTAAATAAAAAATTGCCAGTCATGGAATCTTTTTGATTTTAATACCTGAGAAATTCAGAGTTCTGATTATGACAAAAATTAATTATGTTAAATTGAGTAATTTTAATTTGGCAAATTTATACAATGGCCTCCCTGTGAAGTTTTTTTTGGGGGGGTGGGGGAGTGCTAAGTATAATGAGATTTAAATTATTAACAGATTTAAGCCTGGGAGACAAAATGTTCACTCACTCATTTCTTTAAAAGGCAGTTTTGATACTGGTATTTATTTGTTTTTAGTATAAACAGTTAGCCTATATGGATAGCAGAAGGGAAATGTTATCGAGTGCTGATATATTTATGTATTCCTATGGAATTTGAGGGAGGGAATGATCTTCAAAGAGGTTTGAAAATAATATTGCCTAGGCTAGATGGGGACCAATAGTTAGTTAATGTGTTTGCCATGTCTATTATCTAAAACATTGATATTTGAGTGTCAAACTGAAATTAGGGCTTCTTGAGCCATGGACTCAGGTGAATTAAGTAATATTGTTAAAGAGAGAAAAAAAACCTTCCACTAATGATTTTAGAATGACCCTTTGGAGAGGGGATTATACTTTTCTATTAAACTTCATCATGATGAGGCTGTTTGTTTAGCTCTGGCAGTAAATTTTGGTTGTGAAAAGGTATAGCAGTCAATAGTAAATACTCTTGAATGTATCATCCAACATTACAGATATAATTATATCATTTCCATCTGACTCTAAATCTGCCACTGCTGATAGGAAATTGGCCCTTTTAGATCTGATGTCTATGAACATTCATCATAGCAAAAAGTACCTTAGGAGAAACTTTCAACATATAGCTAGTTTCCAGTGTGATTTCAAATTGGTGATTGATATATGGCTTTGAACAATGATTATTATAGGCATGTGGCTTCTTAATTTTAAATAAAATATTAAGTAATAAAATGGTAATAAGCAAGTATTTTTATTACTGCATTATTGTAATAAAGCCATGCAGTGAATTTATTTTGTATTGTTGAATCAGGATCACTGGATTCTAATATCTAGGTTTTATCATGACTGGATTATCATTTGTTTTTGTGCAGGAGATCTTGTTGGAAAATTCTGTGTTGGTAGGTCTCTGTGCATTGTTAACACTTCAGCAATTTTCAGTGTGTGTGTGTGTGTGTGTATTTTAATTTCTTCTTTATTTATGTACTTAACCATTAATGAAAAATAAAATACTTTTAGCATGTTGGGTGATGTGTTGTTTGAGCTGAACTAAATTCTCTCTTAACATCCTTGTACTGTAACTGGCATTCAGTGTGTGTAATTTATTTTTGCATTATTTTAACAAAACATATTAAGTGCAAAAGGAGTCAGTTTCAATTGTATGTATGTGTGTATAATTTGTATGTATTGCTTGCTTTTTCTCTGTTAATTTTTGCTTTTTTTCCTTATACTTTTAAAATATGAAGAATGAAATAGATTGGAAATGTGCATTTTGCATTGTCTTGCAGTTCAGCTTTGTTTGTTCTGGCTTTTCGTGTAAAAGCAGGAGATTTTTTAAAAAGCATGCCTAAATCTCAACACAGTGAAAGATTAGCTTGAATAAATGTATACAAGTATTTACCTGTGTATTTAAGCTATTAATTTTGAGCTTCTCAGTATACTTCAGTTTTTTTAGAAATGCGGAGAGCGTATTTTGTATGTATTAAGCAACTTCTTTACATTAGTGTGCATGTAGCAGGATATGAAAGATTAAATCTCATTTGATTTGATTATCAGATTAATTTGATTTGATTTTGTAGTATCTCCTTTTAGGACCTGTTCTAACTTCTTTTGCCTCTCTTTCATGCTAATAACTTCTCAATAACCAACAGTATAGTCTATTGTCCAAGCAGACTTCTTTGCATCAGGCACTCACCTTAAAGTTATTGATTTGTGACTCTTGCACATCAGAAGGAAAACTTATAATAAACGTGTTACCTTTCTCTGTAGTTTCATATTCATTAGTTGTTTCCTCCATTATCATTTTCAGGACCTAGATTCAGGCTTGAAAAGTGGTCATGTAACTTAATATTGGTTAGATAGAATATGGTGTTACTGTTACACCATAATGTTCCTGAGGATTCATTACATAATTGTCATAAGGTCCCACTCATGTGGGGTAGGCAAGAAGGCAGGATCTCAATAGTGGTCCTTGTTATAGAATACAGTACCCCCCAAGGTACGCTTGGGCCCTTCTTTTTGGCATTTCAAGGGTTATTGGAAACTATATTATTATATCAGGGCATTATAATTCCACAATTATGAGGAATTGTGGGTGATCTTATAATTTTTTGTTTCTGCTTTTAGAGCATTTTTAATGCTATATTATGATCTGGTACACCACTTAGAGTATTTTAAATTAGGGTGATATATAAAATGCTGTTAAAGAAATAAGGAAAGCAAGAATAGCATTAGTGCATTTTAAATAATTAGTACATTTTAATAAATTATTTAATAAATTAATAAATGTTGAAAGTAATGTTAACACAGCGACATTTTGCAGCCTATTCTAATAGCAGTGTTTCGTTGTCCTGTTAGGTATTTTGACACATACTGTATCCTTTATTAGAGGGTTTTTTCTTTTTCACACAAATTATAAATGTAGTAATTTTGGTGAACTGTATATTAGAATAAAATCTCAATTTAACAGTTGGGAGGAGGGGTGTCCATTAAATTTAAACATCCATTAAATCATGTGTTTACCATGTAACTACAAAAACCACACATACATGGAAAAAAAAACAACTTTAGATAATTTTACTCATTAATGCATTGTGTTTATCTCCTGATGAGTGTGTAAATTGAGATAAGTTGGGACTTCAAGTTCAGAGGAGGAATCAGTAAAAGATATCATCGAAATGGGCCCTCAGAAACAATACAGTAACCTGATTTTGTGGGTTGACAATTCTGTTTCCTCAGCCTCATCACTCTGTTTCTTCTTGCCAGCCATAGCTTCTGCAGCTATCTTGCTCTCTGCATCATCTAGATTCTATGGTTGCCTTCATTCACCGCAACCACTGCAAGACATCATTCTCAGTTGCTTGCTCTTCACTAGCTCTCTGTATCTGGTAGTCACTGATTTCAGATTTTTCTAACTGCAGATCAGCATCCATGTAGTAAAGCAGTTTTTTCCAGCCATTTTTAAATGTAATGTTGACTTTTTTTCCAAGCTGTAGTTGAAGGTTGATGACTTTAAATATTAGTTTTTAAGGTTTTGTTGGGTATGTTGCCTTCTGCTTTTATCGCTTCCATACTCTAATATCACCTTCTCCAAAAATCTCTCAATATTAAATCTTCCCAGTGTCAGAAAGATTCACTAATCCTGGCTGATTAATGTATTTGGGAGCAAAAATATGCAATTTGATTTTCCATCTTTTGTGCATAAAGTTTTTTTTTTAATGCGTGAGTAGGAGCGTTTTCAAGAGTGAGGAGAACCTTCATGCTTTCAGTGATATTTTCAATATCTCATTTTGATATCGTCTGGCACACAATGACTGAAGAACCAGTGTTGAAAAAGTGGTGACATAGTCCATGACTTTTTTGAATTATGATAAATGACTGACTGTTGATGCCTGATGTCTTTCAACACTCTTGGACAAAACAGCTTTTCATCTATAACTGGTGTTAATCTCTGCAACCCATCAGCAGTCACTTTGAGATTCTCTTCTTGCTGATCTGTTACCCTGCCTGAGTGTTCTTAGGAACTGAGCACCAAAACACACTAGTCTGATAGGCATTATAAATTTGGGAAAGTGTGAGGCATTAATTATAAATAAGTTTATTGAACTTATTCCTGAATGGCTTTATCTCTTCTTTTGGTGCAGTTAAAGTTTCACCAAGGTTCATTTGTTAGCAATTTTAATGAAATTTCCATTGCCATACATCACTGGCGTTGAAATTTATGTTCATGTGGTTTACTGTTGTATTAGTTGCTAATTCTAGTTTCACTCCACATATAATAACACCACATGAATTTTGCTGAAAATATCACTATAATTTCTTTATCAAGAGATGTTTCCATGCAGTTTTCATAAGTTCTTGTTTTACTGCTAGCATTTACACAGTATTGTAATGCATGCTACTTCAGCTTCTCTTCTGCTTTCTGAGTATTTGACATGGTTTGTTTCTTTACATCACATTCTTGACAAACACATGCAATGAGCATTCCTGAATCTCCTTTTTCAAGCAAGTCTAATTTTTGCTTTATGCTCGTAGCCATTTTTTCTGACTCAATTTTACTCTCTTTTTTCACATGCCAATAAAACAACATGCTCCAGCACACCTAGATCACTAACAGTGAGATACAGTACATGTATGGAAATAACCACTGTCCAGATTGCTTGAGTTTGTCCACTGTTTAGGAAATGAAGTCTGAACAAAATTTTGTCTGTTGCATCTGAAGTCCTCTGAATGGGTGCCCATTAAAATGAGATGTTACTGTATAAAATCATCATTTTCTGTAATTCAAAATAATTGGACTTCTTCCTTATCATCTTTTCTTGCATAAATATGGATTCCTCTTCAGCTAGACCTAGGACATTCTGGAAAGCTGCTGCCAATCATAGTCAATACTGATTTAGATGGGCCGGTAAACTAGCTTAACAAATGGTAGCATCTATCTTTTTTAAGGCAGTCATAAATCTATCAGGCATATCCTGAAGTTGTAAATTCACCCTAACTTTCACATGTATAAGCAGGTACCCCAAGCAGAGAACGTCTAAAAGAGCTGCAAAAGAGAGAATCCAAAAAGTTCTAGAACTGGAATCCACAAAGGCCATCCCAGATTGAAATTGCTCTGGTGATCTTGCCAAGCCCAGGTTGGCCTTTAAATACCAACAACCATTGTTGTTATGTAAACCACCAGCTAGTAAATTGTCTGATCTTTTTGCTGGCTGAATTTACTTATAGTAACTCAGTTCATATCTTCAATTAGATGCTGCAATTTCAAGCCATCTATGGCTACTATGTGTGCCTGCTGACAAATAGCTCTCAGCCCTCCCCAGCACAAGGCCTTGCTTGCATGTTCTCCATAAACTTTAAGCTGCTCAGCACCTCAGTAAGACCAACTACATTATGCTAAGACCTCTTACAAGTGCTCTGCTGACTGTCCTCTGCTGAAGATCACATCTGGCTTTCTTACAATTTTCTCCATGTTATATAACCATCTAAGACTGGATGCTGTGGTTATTTTGTTTTTGTTTGTCATTCCCTGTAATAGCACACATCAATCATGTGCACTTTCTCCCAAAGCTTCTAAGCATAATTAAAATAAGTCCAGTTTTCCAGAATTCCCTTATGGTCCTGGAATGCCCCCCTTGTCCCTTGTGTGCTTCTGCCCTGCATCCCTTTGTCTAGCAGGAAGGTAGACATTTTTTGCATTCTCAGAACAGGAGGGGTAGCCTGGAATCTTTTAATTCACTAGAAGATCCATCAAACACTTCACACTCTTTGGAGGCAGAAAATAACATTCATGTGTTATATCTCTTCCAACTGTCCCATTTGTAATACCTTCAGAAGTGAGGAGAGAGACTTGTTTTTGGAGAAGGCAGGGGACAATTGCATCATTCATAAGGGAAACAAAGACTCCTGAGGATGAGAGGGAGACTTCTGGAAGGGGGAAGTTCCTGACAAAAAAAAAAAAAAATGGAAATGCCCCTTCCTCATGCTCTTCTTTGTCAGAAGGAGGGGCAAAATACCTTCTTGTTCTCTATGAGAAGGAGAGATTCAGAGAGGGAGAATAATAAAATAGAGAAGGAAGTGTTGTAAGGTATGATACTGGTGAGTCAGGAACAAGTGGATCCCAGGGTAGAAAGGACCATCATGTAAACTTTATCTCACCTGCCTCCCAAGGTGTAAGGACTGAAGCTAATAAGGTAGAACCAGTGGTGCTCAGTCCACTCAATCCAATGCCTAGAATTCAAAATCTGGAACATAGATATATGAGTGGTTCTGAGTTGCTTGTTTAAGGCATTAAACTTCTCTGCAGTAAAGGTTCTAAAATAACTAAATCATGCCTGGGAGTCTTCTGTCAAGTCTAGTCGAGCTAATCAAGGGTTAAGAATCTGAAGAATTACTGTTGAGCTGGCTATAAATACCAGTGATAAAAATGCCATCCAATTTATTCAATTTGTTTCTTGTGTATACATTTCAGGTTAATCTCTCTAGTTCGTATCTATTATTAAGACGCGCAGTTCTAGCTTGTTTGCATCAGCTCGTGCAAAGAGAGGCAGTTGAAGTATCTGAATATGCAGTGGCTCTCGCTAAAGACAGCAGAGAAGACTTTACTCCAGGTAATACTGAGCTCTTCACTTCTTTAGGGTGCAAGCTTTGTTTTTTCAGATAGAGTGTTGCAGTATTTGTATTTTTTACTCTGTATACTGAGGAATATTTCAGACCTGCTCTGAGCAAACACCCTATAGGATAGAATCCATTTGTCACACAAGCCGAAATCCACTTCAGCAACAATCTTTCTTATTTTCTTTCTCATTTCCACGGTTCACTTTCCCAACAGGTTTTCATTGGAGAATTGCTTGACCTCCAAGAATAGGTTTTGTGGGCTTATGAGGTCCTGCAAAGAAAAAAGGGGAATTGCCCCTTCTGTTGATAGAAAAAGTTTTATCAGTAGACGAGTGCATTGGGTTTTTCACATTGTATGAAAAACCTTTAGCACTGCAGAAGTGGGTGATTTGATTTCTGCCCCACATCAGAAACTCTCTCTTAATATAAAACAATCATGTTTCAAGAAGAAATATGTCAATTACTCATTTCCCCTGTAGCCCTAGTTCCACCATAGATACTGTTCTAGGGCAGCCATCTTATATTCTACTCTGAAATATATGGGCTATGTTATATATGAGGAAGTCAAACCTTTAATTTTTATCTGTTCTTTCAAAAATTGTCAGAAACAAAGTATTGCCAATTTGTAAATATTGCCAATTTAAATTATAGTAGATGTGTAATTTGTGTTTGACTGGAATCTCTCAGTCTGAATGTTTTCCTGAAAAGTATTGACTGATTATGTGACATCAAATCAGTGTCAGCTTTTAGCAGTCCATGATCTGTCCCTGGCTTGGCCCTTCAGATTTTCCACCCATGCACCCATCATTGCTGTAATCAAGTCCATCCCCCTTGCTGCTGGTTATCCTCTTCTCTTTTTTTCAGCCCAGCATTATGGACTTCTCAAGGGAGCTGTGTCTATACATTATATGTTCAAAATATGATCATTTGAGCCTGGTCATCTGCAAAGTGTGCCTGTGTGTGTGGTTAGTGAGTGAGTGAGTGATTGAATGTAAGAGTAATCCCCATACCATATTTTGAAACAAAGGAATGACTTGCAGGAATATATTTCTCACTGCAGGTTGCAACCTGGGCTGAAACTCTCACGATTTGTTGAAACAGCTTTATCCATGACTAAGTATATGCTTCAAAATAAATAAAAACAGTGGGGTGACTACAGGAATAGGGTGTTACTGGAAATGAACAATAGTAGCATCAGCAAGGTCTTATGCAGCAATGCTTCATCTGGAATATGTCAGCAGTATTAATCCTGTTAATTTGTAGTCTGATGTTTGGACTAACAGATCAGCATAATCCCATTATTATTTTCTGAAATATGTGCTTCATGTCTATAGTGATTTTCTTTGTATAAATCTCATCTAGATGCTGAAAGAAAGATAATATATAGAGCTGGTAATAATCAAGAAAGCAGACAACCAGATAGCCTTATACAATTTTTAAATATGTTCTTTAAACAAAGCTGAGCTTTTTTGATGGCATAAAACCACTTTTTAAAGCATTTTTTTTTACTAATACTGGGGGAAATTGGAGTAATAGTTATGTAAGTAGGTGATGTTCTGCAATTCTTGCTTGTTTAATCTTGGGAATTGATACTAGAAATATGAAATGAGCAACCATCTTCTAAAACAATTTCAAAATTTACATTTCATCTCAGTATGTAATTTTGAAAGCTTTCAATTGCAGTAATTCATGATTTGGTTTGAACTGAAATATTCTGATCCTGCTCATTTTTTTATTTTCTTTTAAAAACGCAGGTGTTAATATAGGTGAAATAGGCCTTGAAGGAGCATTGTTGAGCTTATTGGACAAAGAATTGGATCCAAAACTGTGCCAAGATATCAGAGAAACTCTGACTCATATGCTTATATCAATGGCTGTTGGAAAACTCTCTTTTTGGCTGAAACTCTGCAAAGATATTCTGGCTGCTTCTGCTGGTATGGTAATACCTTCTGCCTAGAAATTTTCATCAGGGAAGAGAATCATCCAGTAACTCTATGTTTCTAGTTAGAAGAGATCTCAGAAGCCATCTGTTCCAATATCCTGCTTGGGGAAGGCTTTCAGGGGTCTCTTAACTTATTTTGGATATAATAAACAATGTGGTTCATAAAGTTACTAATCTGGGGGATTATGGAAAGGAAGGAAGAAGCCCTAAATACCTTTGGACCTAGATACCTGTAATAATGTCTGCCTTCATAGCAACCTTTATATATGCTGAGATCATTATCAGAGGCCCCCTTTTACATGTTCGTGGTCTCATCGCTAAGGCAGGGGGAATGGTTCCTTTTGGAATTGCCACCTAAATATGCTAACTTCTTATCTTAAGAAGGCTTCCTAGAACTTTTTTAACATCAGAACAAAGTCTTTTTCCCAAGCTTGTAACAGCTACATTGTACAGAAGTATAGGAACTTAAATGTAAAAAAATCCCAAAGCCCTTC